TGTTGGCCTCAGTTTATTTTAAATCTGGTTGTAGTATTATGAATGTGAATTGAAGTGAAGCAACACATGATTAAGATCTTTGTTTGGTTATAAATTGCATTAGTTATGTAATATGGACTTATACTAGGGGCATCAATTCTTTTTGTAGTTGCAAATTTATAATTAAAAATCTATAACTGATGCAGATGTTTAGAACATTTACCACAACTTGGTATAACACACCACAAATTACTTGCGGGATAATATACTCTACAAACATTCATAATTTTCACCAATAAATAAAAAAATAAAATTGTAACTTTTTATCATATCATAAATTTTCTCAAAGAAAAGATTATATAATGAAGAGAAGCTAATTATTAAACTTTCTTATGCAATTTTTTGTTTCCCTCATGGTAAAGTAATTCAATCTGCCACAAATTACTTGCGTTTTCCCTCAATACTAACAGATATGGTGTTGATTTTTTTTTTTTTATATTGTTTGATTTAATGTTTTAGTATTTTGTATAGATGGATAATAAATATCTCGCTACAAAAGGGAAGACAGACCTCATGCGTGCATTTGTATCCCTTCAATATATTGTTGCATCCATTAATTATGCATTTGTTGTATACATGGTCATGTTACATGTGGCCTTGGAAACAAAAGAAGCTAGGTTTCAATTGCATAGATCACCTCATCTGTACATGACACAAATTAACCATTTGAATCGGTTGGTCAGAAATAGTGAAGTAAGTTGCCATGATATGCTTCGAATGAATAAGCATACATTCATGTTGTTGTGTGGATCAGTACGAAATGCTAGATTGAGTGATTCCAAATATACTGTCTTAGAAGAGCTAGTTGCTATGTTCTTGAATGTCCCTGCACATCATACTAATAACTGCAAAATCAAATTTAATGTCATGCACAGTGGTCAAACAGTTAGGAAGTACTTCAATGATGTTCTCAAGGCTGTGTTACGTCTCCAAGGTGTCCTACTTAAGGCACCCAAGACAATAACTACTAATTGCACAAATGTAGGTGAAGGTAGTTTCAGATATAACTCATTTACAAATTGATTTAGATAATACATTTTGTTTTTTGAAACGTGTTAATTTGTATATTGTTTTTATATTGTTAGAATTGTCTTGGAGCATTAGATGGAACGCATGCTAAGGTTCTTGCCTCGGTAGTAGGCAAACCAAAATATAAAACACAGAATGGAAAAATTGTTACAAATGTATTAGGTGTTTGTTTCCAAGATATGCAATTCATATATGTCTTTCTTGGATGGAAAGGGTGCAATCAGTAGACCAAATGGTTGAAAGTGCCCCTGGTATGACAATTACATATCCTTATCTAAATACTCCCTCCGTCCCAATTTGTTGGTCCCTTTTGGGGATTCTAATTTTTTTAAGGGACATGCAATTATTACACTTAAATTTAAGTTTCAAAATATTTTTTCACTAATGCCCCTATCTTTTCAAATTTTTAATATATTTATAATTACTAAAAAGGGGTAGTTTTGGAAAATCAAATATTTTTTATTTTGACTTTTGAAATGTGACCATCATTTTAGGACATCCCAAAATGGTGGACCAACAAAATGAGACAGAAGGAGTAGCATATATTTCTATAACTAAATATTTTTTTACTTACAGAGTGAAATTATCTTATATAGACTACTACTATCTCGTAGATGCAGGTTACACAAATGAGGAGGGTTTCCTTGTACTCTATAGAGGACAACGTTATCACCTTTCCACATTGAGAGATGGGGGTGCCCCACAACTCCACAAGAGATTTTTAATATAAAACACTCTTCTGCTCATGATGTCATTGAGAGGTGTTTTGGGTTACTTAAAATTAGGTGGGCAATTTTGAGGACCTATTTTTACTTTCCAATCAAGACTCAATTCCGCATTATTACTACATGTTGCCTTCTCCACAACCTCATAAAATGTGAAATGTTTGTGGATCCACTTGATGATTAGGAAAATGAATCCATAATTCCTCCTCCAATTGAATTAGGAGATGAATTCATTGACGTTGCGAAAGCATATGATCAATGGAGTGATTGGAGAACTACTTTGGCAAACCGAATGTTTAATGAATGGCAAGCAAGCACAGGCCATAGACATAACCTATAAATGGAGAGATGTTTTTTTGTTAAATATTGTTGTATGAACCGTTTTACCTATTATTGGATATTCACTAGAAGACATGTGATTCAACTATTTGGAAAATTTGCTTGTGGTATTTGTAATGAATATTATTTACTTAAATATTGATATATGAAATTTTTTACTTATTATTGGATGTTTACTAGAAGACATGTAATTCAAATATTTGAAAATTTTTCTTGTGGTATTTGTAATATACATTGTTTATGTTGCTTTGTTATTTATGAGAGATGTTTATGTTATGATATACGTATAGGAATGGATAACACAGATGCCACCAAATCAAAGAACAATGCAAAAATGACTCGAAGGTTTTGGAACAAGCGTGAGGAGGAATTCCTCATTGGGGCTATGAAGGATGTATTCTGAAGTGATCCTAAGTGGAAGTGTGATAATAACCAATTTAGGCCAGGCTTCTACAATGAATGTAAGAAGAAAATCTTACTATCATTTCTTGGAATTGATCTCCGAGCCCCTCCTCACATCGAATCAAAGATTAAGTTGTGGAGGAAACAATATAACACTTTCTATGATATGGTAAATGCTAGTGGCTTTGGTTGGAATGATTGTGAGAAGATGGTCCTTGTCAATATTGATGATGTTTGGTCAAACTATGGCAGGATATAAATAATTTAAATTTGTTTACTTTTTAAAGTTGAATCTATTGTTTTTTTTTTTTTTTTTGTTTGCTTAGTTAACTTTGAATTGTGATAGTTGAAAACTCACTTGTGTAGCGAGTGTTGAACGCAAAAGGAATGAGAAACAAACTATTTTGATACTATGAAGATTGGCTTATTATGTTTGGGAAGGACAGGGCCACTGGTGAGCTAGCTGAAGATCCGGTTGATTTAGTTGCAGCCATGGAAAATGAGGAAGCAATTGGAGAAAAAGGAGACGAGTCCCCTGTGGAACAATTCTGTTTTAATGAAACTGACATTGACTTCAGTGTCAGCTTTAGGTAATACAACCAACCCTCTTGACGCGTCTAAAGGTAGGAAACAATGAGTCTGACCTGCTGTGGGGCCAAAGGACTATCTGAGATGGCTATTACTTTTGGAGTGTTCTTTGAAAATACTAACAATAGGATGGCAGAGATAGCTCATAGGATAAGGTATTCACATGACCTATCACAGCAAAGGAAGTCAATACAAAACTCTTGAAGCCACCAATAAGTACTAGCCAAAGGTTGAGGGCAGTATCAATGACAGTCAAAGATGAGGAACTGGGTGATTTGTTCTTCATTCTAGAGGAGGAGGACAAGATGGAGTGGGTTTGTATGATGTTGGAAAGCTCTATTATTTGAGTATGAAATTAGGTGTATGATGGTCCTTTTGAATTTGTAATATACTATCTCATGCATATGTATTATGAATGTTGCTTTGACAAGGATTATGTAATATAACTTCAGTACATGACCCCCTAGGAAGGCACCTTTATGGTGCATAATTTCACATGGAAATGATCAACAACACTAGGTTGTTAGCTATGTTATAAATGATTGTATGTTTTTAGTGATGAATGTTATTGTTCTCTCTTAGAAGATGTAGTAAGATGGTGATTTTTGTCTATATATCAGAATGATAATTTTTGCCTATGTATCTATCATGCACTTGCATTATTTAATATTTAGTTTATTTTGATTTTGCAGAGACTAATTTTTTTTCTTTTTAGATGGGAAAGAAAATTTTCATTGCAAAACCAATAAATGATTGGATCAATCTAATATAGCAGTATCACAAGATTTCACAAAGAGATAAATAACATCCATAGAAGGTAAGGCGGTGATAGCCAAACTGATGAGGCAAATAGCAGATCTGAATTAAGGACTAGATCTAGAGGAAGATGAAGATTGGCGGGGGGAAGGGAGAGGGAGATCAGAGAAGTGGAGGAACCACCGCCGTCTCCCTCTTCCCTTGCAAAAAAATTGAGAGAAACTCAAGAGAATTTTAATTAGGAAGAGGCGCAGGGAATAAGTCACAAGCTAATTCTACAGGTTCAAATTTTTGGCAAGCTTACCCATGCTTATTTATCATTTGGTCAAGCAAATTAGCCATAAGAAAGGCATGCCCATATTTGACAGCCAGGTTCAATACTTAAGCTACCCAGATTTGTTCTTCATGCATTTGTTAGTTTGGGCCTCATCTAGATTTTATTGACAATTGAAGAAGGGCATTTATAGAATTTCACATATTAATCCCAATTAAAGATGACAAAACAGACAAGAACTATTGCCATGGTATTACTAATCCAGTGTTGTAAAAACAAACATTTTTTATCTTACATCTCCAACCTACTATAACCATATTACTAATCCCTTCATTCAATCACACCGTACTCATAATCCCATTCTACCTAATCTGCCAAACAAACATACTTAACTAAAGGAAAAATGCTAAAAATTCAAAATTTTGGCAAATCTATTCACAATCATTGATCTCACATACAGTCTAAAGTTAAACAACTATGATCATAACAAATTTTCAGATTTATGAAAACACCTAATCTAAATCCAAATCCTGCCAAATATTGTAAAAATATAATAATCATCTCAAGGCAACCAAGAAAAACTCGATTTAACACATCAACATACTACTAAGGGGAAATGTGACCGACTTAATAAAATGAGGATGGCTATATATCATCAAATGAATTCCATCATTTTCTAGATATGATGAGTCCTAAATATACTTGTGTATCCACCTGAGAGGTGAAAAAAGCCTAGTGGTATTCATCCCGAGACAAGTATCATTTTCAACAACATTAGCTGCCATCTCATTCCACAAACATAGCTCTCACATATATATAGGTCAAAAGGTAAACTCTGATTATAACAATTTTCACAAATTTATGAAATCACCTAATATAAATAGAAATTCTGCCATATATTGTGAAAATATTCTAATCATCTTAAAGCAACCAAGAAAAACTCAGTTTAATCCATCAACATACTAGTAGGGGAAATGTGACAAACTCGATAAAATGAGAACAGCTACATATCACCGAATGAATTTCATTATTTTTTGGATATGATGGGTCCTACATATACTTGTGGGAAAATATCTGGTGATATTCATCCCAAGACAAGTATCATTTTCAACAACATTAGCAGTCATCTCATTCCTTCTCCGACAGTAGAAACCTCAAATTATGCCCTGTTCAGAAAGGCAGCAAAGGTACCTCAATAAAAGGTTCACTACCAACTAGAGCCGGCAATGGATGAGGTTTGGGACAGGGAAGCAGAATGAAGCAGTGATTTTCATACGATGTAATCGGTGACATTACATTCTAAACACACCATACTTGGTGGTTTCTGGTGCACGGTTCATGGAAGCAGATAGGCAGAGACCTACGATGTTTCTTGTGTCCGCTGGATCAATGATGCCATCATCCCAGAGTCTTGCCGTGGAGTAATAAGCACTACTTTCTTTATCATATGCCTCCACAACTTTTGCCTTGAATTTTTCCTCCTCTTCCTTTGTCCACTGCAACAGAGGAGCACACATGAAGGCCCATGGTAACATCAAAGTACTTGAACAACATACTCCATATCCTCAAAAAACAAAAACAAAAAGCAAAACAATAGCTATTTGATAACATTGTCAATTTCTTGTTTTCTGTTTACAAAAACAGGAAATAAGTTTTTCTAAAAGTTTTGAAAACAAAAATGAAAAAACATGTTTTGTGACTTGTCAGAGCTGGTAGACAGTGGTGGAGGGTGGACAGATGCAGTGGCCAGCGGTGGGGGAAAATGTCGTCAGAATTCATGGGGTGGCTGGAGGACTGCCAGAACGTGGCTGGAGTTCAACTGTGGTAACTGTCCAATCGTTGAAGCATCACCAGCGGTGACGGGTGGTCGGTGGTGATAGTGGGTGGGTGGTGGCTGGAGGTAGTGGGAGGGTAGAGAGAGTGAACTTTTTTTGAAAACACCTCTTTTGTTTCCAAGACTATGGAAAAATTTGGAATCAATTCCATTTTTTTCTAAAACAACAGTATACCGAAGTAAGTTTTCATTTTCAATTTTAAAAAAAAAATGAAAACAATAACAGAAATGTTACCAAATGATTAATACACACAGAAGGGAGAATCTTACCTGGATTCCTTGCTTCTTCATGTTGCCCTTTTCTATTTGAGACAGCACACCAGCAGCCTGGACCATGCCAAGAGAACCGAGTAAATAAACGCATGTTCAAGCTAGTTTACATATGGTTTGTGCACAACAAAGCACATTACAGGATTGAGAACTCGAAAGCATAATACTTATACTTGGTCTATCCAGGATTTTTGAAAACACATATCAGGAAACCAACAAGAACATGAAAAATCAAGAGTTAGGAAGAATGACAAGACTTGACAATAATGGATTTTAGTAGAGAAATAGTAATGCATGCAAAAAAGAGGCAACCTGAGGACCGCCCATCACTGATATTCTAGCATTTGGCCAAAAGAACAGGAAGTTGGGACTATATGCACGCCCACACATTGCGTAGTTTCCAGCACCAAAGCTTCCACCAACAATAACAGTAACTTTAGGAACCTGTGCAGGAAGTGATTGGAAAAAAAGATAATTTCAAAAAATGAGGACAAGAAACAAGAGAAGAAAGTAAAGAAGCAGAAATAACAGTTCCATTTCCACGATGATTTCAGAGTTCTATGTTATAGAAATAGGGAAATGTACACATTTCTGAAAAGAAATTCTGGAATTTTTATGACTTAACATCATTAAATAGTATATTTTATTGCAGAAATGAATTAGACATAAAAGAGCAAAAAGTGGAAGAAATTAACCTTTGCACAAGAGACTGCCATCACCATTTTCGCTCCAGATTTTGCTATACCATTTGCCTCAGATTTTGAGCCGACCTACCATATACCAAAGCTTAGCAATTCAATGGTTAATTTAATTTTCATGAGCTTCATAGCTCAAGGATTATGATTCCCACAAAAAGGAACAAAGGAAGAATGGTATCCAACTTAGTTCAACCTAAACTAACAAGTTTTACTCACATCTATTTGATTTGCATTTCTTACCTTGAAAAATTAATGACATGAAATTGATGGAAAACTTCATCCAAGGATTAAATACAAGATAAGTTGAGATGGGATACCATAAATCCTGTGATGTTCTGGAGGAAGACCAAAGGAATGTCACGTTGAGTACATAATTCAATGAAATGGGCTCCTTTCAGAGCAGATTCATTAAATAATATACCATTGTTTCCAAGGATTCCAACAGGCTGTCCAAGAATTCTAGCAAAGCCAGTTACAAGGGTCTGCACAAAAGGAACTGGGATTAGCATATTATAAAATATTGGAAGCAAATATAATTAACAGAGTCTTCCAGAATACAAATGACCTCACAGTGCCATACAATTTCTTGAATTCATCAAATTCACTCCCATCAACAATGCGAGCAATAACCGATCGTATGTCAAAAGGCTGCTTGAGGTCTGTTGGTGCAATTGAGCGAAGTTCCTTCACATCATATAACGGTTCTTTATAATCAGATATAATATTTTGCAATCCATTTATCATTCCTTGATTCCCAGCACTGTGCATGTTCTTGATGATATTCCTCCCTATAGCAAGTCCATGCAATTCATCTACAAGATAGACATAAAATCTCTTATACCATCACTATCACAAAACAAAGTTGGGGGTGGAGCATTTCTGCTTGTCTATTTTAAAGGCTTAAGAAGCATGACAATTTAATATACTGTCTGCTTTCTTATTTTTCTTTTCTTTTCAGTTTTTCCCGCCACAGAGAATATACTCCCATCAAGTTATCTTCACCACTAGCTTATGGACATGCTCTATCTGATTCACAATAGTTGCAATCTTTATCTGATACAGTGAAGTTAAATTCCATCAATTGGGTGTGGTAATTATAGTAATAATAATAAGGTTAAAAGACTTCTGTGGTTGCAGCTTCATTTCTCAAACAAGTCTATTTGCCAAATTCATTTTGTACTGCACTCTTATCAGAATGGCTTCTTATCATGAAATAAAGTTATGCATTATCACAACAAGATTTTATTAAAATTTTAAACTAGGTTTAAATACATTTGAACTTTTTGGATAACACTTGCTGAAAGAATTTAATCAACCAACAATGTGTTACAACCTCAGATAAAAACTGAAGGTCTCATCACATATTACATACCACTGCATCCATTTTAAGGCATGTAAATTATCTTTCTTTCTTTTTTTTTTTTCTTTTTTTTTTGGCTTCAAGGTCAATGCAATTTCCAATGTGGGACTATTGAAACATGGACAGGGTATTACTTACAAAAAGGCAGATAATCAGACATAACAGCTTCTCCGAGCAAACAAAGAGCTTAATGGTTTAGGTCCCTTGTTTTGTCAATTCCGCGAACTAACACTATTTGAGTTGTATTGTTGAGTGTTCTTCAAACCTATCAATTTTCATGGACAGCTCGAGCGGTGGTTTGTGCACTCGAGCGCTGAAATGGATCATCCAGTATTTCAGGCTTAGCTTTGAGATACTAGGAGGTTGCATTTACCGCTCGAGCGTGGACTCTTGTGCTCGGGTGAAGTGGCAAGTGTACTCTTTGTTACAACCACCTTTTAGACACATTGCTCGAGCAGTCTTTCGTGCGCTCAAGGGGTCTTTGCGACCCAGTTTGCTTTAAACCGCCTCAGATGCACAATTCAAGTTTTACCTCTTCCATATCTCAAAGTTGAGACCTAAGAAAGTTTTACCTGTTATGCGAGCATTTTTAAAATCCATTGATGAGAAAGTTTGGCATTCCATCATCTATGGGTGGGATGAACCTATTGTAACCATTGAGGATGTCATAATTCCCAAACCAATTGATAAATGGGATACAAACGATTATCAAAACGCGAGTTGGAAGAGTAAAGAGCTCAACTCCCTCTTTTGCTCCATCATCCCAGAGGAGTTCCGGCATATTTGCACTTGTGAAGTTGCAAAAGAAGCTTGGGACATTCTTGAAACGATTCACGAGGGTACTACTTCGGTTAAGAGATCAAAACTTCAATGTCTCACCTCCGCTTTTGAAATTCTTTTTATGCATGAGGATGAAACGTTCAATAATTTTTATGCAAAACTCAATGAAATCATAAATTCTTATTTCACTCTGGATGAGAAAATTCCCGAGTCTCGTGTTGGAAAAATTCTGAGGTAATTACCTGATCAGTTCCAATAAAAAATGACAGCTATTGAGGAAGCTCAAGACGTTGAGAACCTCAAGCTGGATCAGTTGGTTAGAAACTTGCAAACTTATGAGGCACATTTGATTTCTAAGAAAAACAAAAGGAAGTTGCGGCTTTTTCTAGTGCTCATGAGGTTGTTAAGAATCTGGAGGTTGAGAATGGTCTAGAGGCCGAAATGACAACTTTGTTTACCAAACAATTGGAAAAAAATTTAAAGAAAAAGGGCCTAATTTCAAGGGCAATAATTCTAAGGATAAGGGTAATGATAAGCTCAAAATTGTTCTAAAACTTGAGAAGAAGATTATGTGAGGTCAAGGAGTCCAGTGCTATGAATGCCAAGGGTTTGGGCATATCGCTCTTTACAGTCCTTCCAAGAAAAATAGAAAGAAAATCTATACTGTGACTTGAGATGATGAGAGTGGGTCAGAGCAAGAAGCTGATCAGACCGAATCCAGTGAAGATGGAGATGGTAGCTCCATGGCATTCTATTCTAGCATCCCTCAACCAACACCCAAGCTGGTTGAGTTTGCACGACGTGCTAGTCTTCATCGTGCTCCTACCTTTGATGGGAGTAACTACTTGTATTGGAAGTGTAGGATAAGGGTCTTTCTCAGAGCGTGGGATTCGGAAGGATGGAGCACCATTGAGGAAAATTTTGAAGCAACATTTGTGATTGACTCAACAATTCATCAAAGAATTGTCAAGCCTATTAAGGAGTGGAGTGCTAGTGAAAGGGTAGACATGGAGAGTAGCACGTGTGTCTTGAATACCATTCGAAGCACTCTCAGAAGAAGAGCGACAAAGCATCTCTCATTGTGAGAATGCAAAAGATGCATGGGCTACTCTAATGTAATTTCATGAAAGAGTGGAATCATCTTCACAAGCATCTAGTTCTTCTCATTTCAATGCTCTTGTTGCTCGATTAGATATTCTCAAGGAAGAAGAGAAACAAAAGGATGATGTGCCTTTGCTTGAAAATGTCATTGATGAAGAATCCTCTGAGAGTGATGACGAGATAGATGGTGAAGAGCTTCAACAAGCTTATGAAAAGTTGTACAAAGAATCCCTCGATTTGACTATGTTGAATGACAAACTCACTACCAAACTCAAGGCATGTGAGAGTGAGAATGTCCAACTAAAGGGAGAAATTTCTGAGGCTAGAAATGATGTCATCAAGATCTCCAATAATCGACAAACTCTTTGTGCTAAACTTTCAACTTGTGAAACCGAGAAGGATGAGTTATTGAAGATTTATGTGGTGTATGAAGAAAAAAGACTCGAGAAATGTCTCAAGTTGCTTTGGATGAGCTAGTTATCAAGAAAGAGAAAGAACTCAAGGATGCTAAGGCAAAAATTGATTTTTGGAACAAAGGATCAAAAACATTGGAAGATATCATTGGATCTCAACAAATGGGCTTTGACAAGAGTGGAATTGGCTTTGGTGTTGACAAATCGCAAAAGTGGAATGCTTCCATATCTCATGACAAAAGGACTCAAGGAAAGGAGAAGCAAAATATACAACAAGATGATGAGTCTCTTCACCGTCCCAAAGTTGGTGTGGCCAAAGAAAGGAAGGTAAATCCGGTATTCATTCGTCATCACTGTGATAGGTATGGCCACATTCGCCCTTATTGTTATGAGTTGTTTGATAGAGTGTCTCAAAGAGGTAGAAGAATTCTAATGCCTCTGGGATTAGGAGACAACCCTACATGTCAAGGCAGAATACCTTTGATTGAAATGGTGTTCACGACGCTAAGACATCACCCAAGAATCATGGTGATTCCTCTCTAGTTAAGACTAGAAGAGGGTAGGTAAGGAGAAGAGGGTAGGTAAGGAAGAGTGACTTGACTTGTTTTGTTGTTCACATGGCTTATAAGTTATAAATCATGTGACTCACGCATGTGGTATCTTGATAGTGGTTGCTCTCATCTCATGTCCAATGACAAATCCTACTTCACATTCATTGATAAGTATGAAGGAGGAATTGTCACATTTGGGGACGGTAGCACTTCTTGAGTCATTGGCAAGGGCTCTATAAGTGCCCCTACAATCTTCCGAAGTTGGATATTGTGTTGCTTATTGATGGTCTTAAGGCTAATCTTTTAAGCATTAGTCAAATGTGACTCACATCATGAGGTATTGTTTTCAAAAGATGAATGTCAGATTTTGGACAAAAAGGGAAATACAGTCATGCATCGTGTTTGCACGTCTAATAATCGTTATAGAATTGTCACCATGAGTGATCTCACATGTCATTCGGCCATCACAAGCAATCTAGACTTATGGCATCAACGGTTTGGTCACATCAACTTCAAAGACCTAGCCAAGATAGCCAATTAGGAGCTAGTGTGAGAAGTGCCTAAATTGGGTAAGTCTTTGAACCAAGTGTGTGGGCCATGTCAATTGGGCAAGCAACCTCGAGCCCCTCATAAGCAGGTGGACAGCCTTACAACCAAACGTTCTCTTGAGTTGATTCATATGGATCTTATGGGACCCACTCATACTAAAAGCAATGGAGGTAAACGATACATTTTCTTGACGGTTGATGATTTCACTCGTTTCACATGCATAAACTTTTTACAAGAAAATTAGATACATTTGATGCTTTTAAGTCCTTGGTCCTAAGAATCCAAAATGAACAAGGTGTTACCATTGGGTATATCACAAGAATCCGAACTGATCATGGCCGCGAGTTTGAGATTAATTCTTCTTCGGATTTTTGTGATATGCATGGGATCAAGCATGAATTTTCTGCTCCTATTACTCCACAGCAGAATGGGGTTGTTGAGAGGAAGAATCGAGTGGTTCAAGAAATGGCTAGGGTCGTGCTCCTAAGCAAGAAAGTCCCTGTCAACTTTTGGGCCAAAACCTTGAATACCGCGGTTTATGTTGTGAATCGTGTGTATTTGAGGCCCGGTACATTACAAACCCCATATGAGCTATGGAAAGGTTTGAAACCTCGTGTAAAATATTTCAAAACTTTTGGGAGTAAGTGCTATATTTTTAAAGATAGAGAACCTTTGGGCAAGTTTGACTCTTGTAGTGATGAAGGTATTTTGCTAAGGTATTCAACCACTAGTAGAATCTTTCATGTCTATAACCTTTGAACTCTATCTATTATGAAATCTATCAATATGGTTGTGGATGACACAGGTTCTCCTATGGCATCCATTCATGAGGAGGAAGAAGTTGATCTCCTAACATCCAATGTGGCTTCACCAAGCCAAGGAGAAGCTCAAGTTTAAGATCAAGGTGTACAAGCATCATCTCCTATGGCAAGCCCAACTTCAAGGTGTGCACAAGAAGACATATCCATTGACACCTCATCCTCTTCTCCACTCACTTGTTGCACAGGATAATTCAGTTTCACTTGTTGATTATGACGAGATGTTTGCCCCCGTGGCACATCTCGAAACTATTTGTATCTTGGCTTGGTGAAGCCACATTGGATGTTGGGAGATCACTTCTTCCTCCTCATGAATAGATGCCATAGGAGAACCTGTGTCATCTACAACTACATTGATAGATTCCATAATAGATAGAGTTTGAAGGTTATAGACACAAAAGACTCTACTAGTAGTTGAATACCCTAGAAAAATACCTTCATCACTACGGGAGTCAAACTTGCCCAAAGATTATCTATTTTTAAAAATATAGCACTTACTCCCAAAACTTTTGAAGTATTTTACATTAGATTTCAAACCTTTCCATAGCTCATATGAGGTTTGTAATGTACCGGGCCTCAAATACACACGATTCACAACATCAACTGCGGTCTTCAAGGATTCGGCCCAAAACTTGAGAGGGCTTTCTTGTTTAAGAGAATGACCCTAGTCATTTCTTGAACCACTCGGTTCTTCTTCTCAACAACCCCATTCTGCTGTGGAGTAATAGGAGCAGAAAATTCATGCGTGATCCCATGCATATCATTAAAAAAAAAAAAAAACTATTCTCAAACTCCGGATTCTTAACAACTACATGAGCCCTACAAAAATCAACGACTTCCTTTTGTTTTTTCCTTAGAAACCAAATGTGCCTCATAAGTTTGCAAGTTTCCAACCAATTGATCCAGCTTGAGGTTATCAACGTCTTGAGCCTCCTCAATGGGGGTGTTTGGTCTGGCTTAATTTGAACAAATTATAGCTTTTAGCTTCTAAAAGCTACTGCAAAGTGTTTAGTTAAGATTAAGGCAGACAGCTTAAGTTTTATAGATTTTCTTCTTACATAAAAAAGTCGAAAATCATAAGCGGCATGGAGCAACTTCCGTAACTGAATTATGCGGAGGGGTGTCGAAATTACTTAAATGCCCTTCACTAATTTGAAGTATCACCAAATTGCCATTATATAAACCACAAAATCACTGTTCATTCTCTGAGAGAGAGAAGAGAGAGAGTGGCGATTTCTGACGAGGCAGGCGATTTCCGGCGTTATGAACCAGTTCTCTCTCTCTCTCTCTCTCCCCCTCTCTCTGACGTTGTTCTCTGGTTGTGCTATGAAACCCATCGCGATCTGAAACCATCGTAAGTGACGATGGACGGCGTGGCGATCAACGGCGTGACGATGAAACCCTTCTTCTTCTCCTCTCCGGCGTCGGGATCTGAAAACCTTCTTCTACTCTCCGACGTCGCAATCGCGATCAACCATAGTTGTCTCTCTCTTTGCGATAGCAATCAACGACAAGTTTCTCTCTCTCTCTCTCTCTTCGTGAACAGCCCTAACTCTCTCAGTGTTCACTGCGGTTTTGTAGAGAGCTGCTAACGGTAGGGTTTGGTATTTGTAGGATGAGAAGGAGAAGAAGGGCGCAGCCGGCGGTGGCTAGGGCTACTGGTGGTAGGGTTTGGTATTTGTAATGAATTATTAAATTAAAAAAAAATTAATAATTTTTATATTATTAATTAATATTAATTGTAATGGATTAATAATAAATTAAAAAAATTAACAATTTTTATATTATTAATTAATATTAATTGTAATGAATTAATAATAACTTTAAAAAATTAACAATTTTTATATTATAATTGTTATTATAATGAAAAAAAAATAATCACAAGTTTTAATTAATTGATATTTTGTGCATAATGAAAAAATAAATCACAATTTTTATATTAATTGGCATGTAATAAAAAAAATGAAGAAAATAAAATAGGTTAACAATTTTTATATCTAATAAGGGTAAAAAAGACATTATACAACAAAAAGCTATTTTACATCTTATTAAACAAACACTACTCAACAACTTAAATCTATAATCTAACAGTTATACCAAACAAGTTAACAACTTTTAATTAAATCTATAATCTATTAAGTTATAAGCTATAATCTATTTTAACAGCCGCACCAAACGCTGTCAATAGCTATCACTTTTGATTGGAACTGATCATGTAATGACCTTAGAATTTTTCCAACACTAGGTTCATGGATTTTTTCACCAAGAAAGAAACAGGAATTCACAATGTCATTGAGTTTTGTATAAAAATCATTAAACGTTTCATGCTCACGCATAAAAAGAATTTCAAAAGCGGAGATGAGACGTTGATATTTTGATCTCTTAACCGAAGTAGTACCCTAGTGAATCGTTTCAAGAATGTCCCAATCCGCTTTTGCAACTTCACAAGTGCAAATACACTGGAACTCCTCCGGGGTGATGGAGCAAAAAAGGGAGTTGAGTGCTTTACTATTCTAACTCGCGTTTTTATAATCGTTTGTATCCCATTTATGAATTGGCTTGGGAATTATGACATCAATTCTTTGATTCATAAAGAAAAATAAATTAATTCAGACTCTTAATTGAGAAATTTGAATATTGGGATTCAGCCATCAAAACTAATCAGAACATATCAATGCTAATAAATCCTTCATAGCTAGTATAATGGCAACTTTCCATCAGACTACAAATCAATTGTGTTAATAGAATGGTCAAGAAAACCACAAGTTGAGAAATGGCCAATATGATGTAACAATCACACGATAACTGAAAAGGAATACCTTGAGCAAAATAATCTGAAACACCTGACGTCTTGCAATGCACTGTTGCACCACCCAAATCCTCTGCAGAAACTTCCTCTCCAGTAGCAGCCTGTCAGGACTTACATTTAGCCAAATCCCACAGCTTTGACAAAAACGTGCACATGTAGAAAGCAATATAAACATAGTATATACACACCTGAAATGCTCATGAATTAGATACATATTATGCATATGGGAAATTCTATTTGCACACCACTAGTTGTGTACGTACACACACTCTCCTCACTATTTGCTCAATTTACACCACACCCAAATTAAAAGTTTTGATTTTGTCTTAATACACACCACCATTTTTCAAATAATACCAAATTACCCTCTTCACCAACAAACCCTAACCCTAACCCTAACCCTAGCCCCTCCCCTCCGGTTGCCGCCCTCCACAGCCTCTCTCCCCTCCCACCACAAACCACCACATACACCACCAGCACTTGTAGCCCCCCCTCCCTCTCCAGCCCCTCCCCTTTCCTCTTCTTTGTCTAGATCTGAAAACCCTAGGGTTTTCTTTTTCTCTCTTACATTCCCTCTCTCTAAGGCGGAGGAGGATAGGGGGGCTAGATAGTGATGGAGGGGGTAGGGAGATGGGTAGCGATGGCAGAGCTGAGCAACAGGGTTGGTCGCAATGGCTGGGATGGGGGCAGGGCTATTCGCGATGGTAGAGAGTCCTTGGTGGCTACGATGGTGGCTGGGGAGGAAAACGGTGGTGGTGGTGGTTGGTAATGGCGGTCAAAGGTGGAGATCAAGCAGCAGAAGATAAAAGCAGTGTTTGGTGGTGATGGTGGTAGTTGGTGGTGTGTAGGGAGGTATGTATTGAGAGATTAGGGTTTAGAAAATTGTCCAAAATGGTAATTTGATTAAGGGTCACAAATGTAATAAAAATAAATAAAGAGATGTTGTGCACTAACAGAGATTGTGGAGTGCAAATAGAATTTCCCCATGCATATATACAATTGTTGAGGAAAGCATGTTCACATCTCATAAAATATCTAGAAGAAACAAAAGACAGAAACAAGGCATGAGGCATTATGGATCACAAGAAGGCCATGACAAACCTTCACAAGTGGAGGTCCAGCTAGAAATATGGTTCCATTTCCTTTTACCATTACACTTTCATCGGCCATTGCAGGTATGTAAGCACCACCTGCTGTGCAAGAACCCAATACCAGTGCAATTTGAGGAATACCTTCAGCAGACATTACAGCTTGATTGTAGAAAATTCTACCAAAATTATCCTTGTCAGGAAATACATCAGCCTGCTTTGGAAGAAAAGCACCCCCACTATCAACAAGGTATATACATGGTAGATTGCATTGAGCTGCAATCTCTTGTGCCCTAAGATGCTTCTTAACAGTGATGGGATAGTAAGTTCCTCCCTTAACGGTAGGGTCATTTGCCACAAACATACAAAGTCTTCCATGTACCGGTCCAATTCCAGTGATTATCCCAGCAGAGGGTAAGGGTTCATCATATAGTTCATGGCCTGCGAGCTTAATCCATGAAACATAGAATGTTATGAGCAGAAGCATCACAAAATAAGTTAAATGAAACATCAAGTCCAACTAGTGATAATAAGAATTTTCATTAACAGTGGAACTTTCATTAACAAATGATAATAAGAATTTTCAAGTCCAGAATTATGAAGGTAAAGCTGTCGGAGTGAGGTTGTGCCTGTGTATGACTGCTAAATTAATGGTCTAGGACTAGTAGCATTTGCTTTAACAGAGAAGGATTTTTTGCTTATTTTTCATATAACCAGTATAGATGGAAACTGGCTTCATCAACCTTAGATGAAAATCCAACCTTTGTAAATAATGAGTGAATAGTTAGGTTGATTTATTTCTAAGATTCAAGTGTTCTTAAAGATTTTAAGTGTAACTGTTCAAAACAGCAAACCAAACAATTTTTTTTCAAAATCTTGATATTTGGGAATTATAGTATCCACTCATTTTCTTTTCTTTTTTCAATCTAAAATCAACCGTGTCAATGTCTTTGTAATGCTTTCCAAGATCACCAATTACCCTAAAAACTTAAGCGGTTAGGAAATGAGCCCAACAAAGTATAGCAAATTAAACCTCTTCCTCACGTGCTTACCCTGTCTTGCATGTGAAAAGGCAAACAAACAGAAAGAACAAGGTGCATCAAAACAGACAGAACAGAGTGCAGTTTTGCAGACATATTTGAACCCAAAGACCTCTCAGAACCCGAGCACTTATACCATGATAAATCACCAATTATCCCAAAAACTTGGACTGTTAAAAAATGAGACTACCAAAACTTTTTGGTTGGATGTCTTCAATAATTGAAATGCTAGCTAATTGGTAATACCATTTAATCCGACAGTTAAATGCTTTCTTACGCTGTACTTGGTTCGCTGGAATGAGATGAAATGATCATTCGTTCCGCTCCCCTATGAAATGATCATTCCTTACAATGACCAATGATCACTTCATTTGCAATGTAATTTTTATTATTTTTTTAGTTAGAGAATGGATATTACGATAGAATGATTATTTTATTTCACTTAATTCTTGTGACAACCCCACCACGCATAATATTTTGCATTTAATTAATTAAGGAGATTTGAATTTTAATTACCTATTATTCTGATTTAATTGTGGAATTGTTGAGCATTATTGAGTCTGATTCGAATATGATTTTGTTGGGGATTTATTTCGGAATTAGAAATTGAAGACCTAAATGGCTTAAGAACGTATAATTAGTAAGTTGAATAAGTTTAATTTTAACTATTGAATCACATGGAAGCTTAATAAAATATTCGATTCAGTTTAGTAAAATTAAGATTTGATTAATTGGGTCCAAATTGGAATTAATTAACTTAAATTAATTACAAGGTTTGGAAATTGTGATTATTCTGGATTAAAATTGCTTGTGAGGTGTCTTATTTGTATATGTGATTTATTGAGAGGAATTTTGAGTCTAATCTAAAATTAAAGGCTTTAATGATTTGAGAAATCAAAATTAATGATGTCACTAAGTTAAATATAATAATTTGAGCCTTTTGGAAGTTTGATTAAAAATCTGATTCAAATTGATGAAATTAAATATGATTGATTGGGCCTTAATTGAAATTAATTAGACTAATTGAGTTATGTGGGAAATGATCAATTAAGACCAAGTATGGCTAAATGTGGTTTAATTAAGCTAATTGTGTAATCAAGAGTTAAGCTAATCCTACTCATGTGATTAATTGCGATGTGGTATGTAGAGGATCCTAGCCTAGTGTGTGTGTATATGTAAGTGTTGTGTTGAAGCCTTAATGTGCAAGTGTGTGCACGTATTACATTGTTAAGAAGTGAGGTGTGTGTGTATGTGTATATTTTGATGAGTCAAGAGGTTAGGCTCATTCTTTATTCATTCATTTCTGATAGAGGAATTTTAGAGAGAGACAGAGACAGAGAACTCCACTCTAGAGAGAGAAAGCTCAACACTAGTGTAAAATTGAAGAAGAATTGAAAATGCTAAGGGAAATCACTTCTAATCTCTGAAATCGAAGCCTTAGGTAAGGAATTCATGCTCATATTTTGTAAAGAATCCTCCATGCATCATGAATTAAGAGAGTTGTAGAATCAATTCCATGGTTTTTGTAAGAAAATTGGTTTTGAACAAAGAAAATGGGTTGCACGCATGTTTATGGAAGTTTATGTTAGATTTCATCATTTTGTTTTGGATTTTGAAGCTTTAAAGCATGAAAGCTTGTATATTGCATATGATTTCAGAAAAATTCATGGTTTACATACTTGATTTCATATTTTGTTCATTAAAGAAAAGAAGCTCGGAAAATCTTTGCATGCATGAAGTTTTGGTTCAATCTTTGACAAATTAATGAAGTTTTGAGCAAATGATTTTTAAAGGGGTCATGTATTTGTGTTTTTCAAAGTAAATCCATGTTTTTGAGCAAGCCATGCATGACCCCAAGTTTTGAAATGGAGTTTGGAAGCTCAAACTTTCAGTTTTGAAACCCAAATTTATCACAGACCACTCAAGCGACTAAGTGGTGGCTCGAGCGAAAATTACGAGCTTTCATAACTTTTGCAGTCTTTACAAACCGCTCAAGTGACCAATTGGTGGCTCGAGCAGATGTTTGCTAGTCGCTCGAGTGACCAAGTGTTGGCTTGAGCGCACATCTGACCCATCCAGCATTTTTGCAGACTGTGCGCATTTTTGTTCTCATCTCTTACCAAGCATTCTTAGGCATGAGTTAAGCCTCATTAAGGATTATTAAACCAAGAACCAATATAAGTTAATTGATTAAGAAGTAAAGAATCAATTCAGCTTATTGAAAAGAAAGAATAACTGAAGTAAGATTTGATCAAATCAAGAGAGTAGTATTATGTTTCGATGTGTTCGTTTGTGTGCTTTGTGTAGGTTGATCATCCAAGGAGTTATATTCGTTCAAGCCCACTATGAGGATATCTCTATAAAGATATGTTCGAAATAAATTTTAAAAATTGTTACATGAATAATTTTATGAAATGTTATTTTATATGAATGAATGAATGTCCCTTTTTGAAAAGTATTCATGGCATCCTTTAGTGAGGCTCTCGCTTGGGAAAAACAATACCATAGCCCTTCAATTATTGGAATTACAAAGATCTCTGACGTTAGACCCAAGTGGTCCCTTCCTTAGACCCGAGTGGTCTCTTCGTTAGACCTTGATGGTCCTTTTGCTAGACCTTGATGGTCCCTTTGATTTAGGCCTTCGGGCCCCTTCGTTACTCTATTGGATGTACCACGAATGATGTTTTGATACTAAATTTTGATATGGAAAATGCTCTGTTTGAATTCGATATATAAGTCATTTGATAACGTATGGATTTTGATATGACAAATGTGCAATTTGAATTTGTTATATGATATTTGGAAATGTAAGATATGGAAAATGCTTTGATATTTTAAAAATGATATAAGATTCGTTTTTGGAAATTGTAAGACATATTTTATATTATGATGGACTTCATTTATTAACCTCTTTATTTAGTATTACTCACTGGGCTTTAGTTCACCCCCCGTCCCTTATATATATATGTAGGTGAGCAACTCGAAGATCAGCATTAGAGATTGCCTCAGAGTCCGCTCTTTTGGTCAAGCCACCCAAGATGTGGCTCCACGCTGAGGCTTTAGCATTTGTTCTTGTTAAGTCTTATATGTATGATCTGAGATGTATAAGATATGCATCTGTGTGTATATATATTAAAGTGTAAATGGACAATATTATTTTTTTGCTTCCGCTTCAGGCCTCGATATTATTTAAATATTTTAAAAATTTTATCATTGAGGCCGTAGGTAATCTGTGATTACTGGCCGATCGACGTCCCTAACCTCTAGGAGTGAGTTGCGGTCGTGACAATTCAGCGAACCAACCACTAAATTAGACTAGAATTATGACATAACTTCAAAATTGTTCCACCACTGTTCAGACATTTAATTGAATTTTGATCACCATTGTAGTCCCCATCAAAAGGGCTACAAAGAAAATGTAAAATTTATATTTAAAAAAGAAAAAGGGCAAATGTACAAAGAGAGAGAGAAAGAGAACCTGAGAAAGCTCAAGGAAAGAAGAGCCAGGGTCAAGGAGGCGATCGATTCTCTCTCTGGGCAGAAGCTTATTCCTACTCCTGTTTCTCTTGACAGCTACTGCTCCTCCTCCAGCCATAACCTATCCAAACAAACACAATCTGTAAACACCATACTCTAGATATATATACACACACACAGACGTGGATGAAGAGGAGGGAGGGGGAGGGGACCTTGTTGATGTGGGATTGAAGGTCGGAGATGAGGGCATCCATGGCCTTGGAGTTGAGAGAGAAAGATTCGGAGGTCCGATCGAGGATATCGGGGAGGACGCCCAAACAGAAGTGTCTTCGAGTGTGGAGGAGAAGTGATTCGATGAAATTGGGGTTTTGTATCCATGAAATTGATTTTGATGGGGCTGTCGTTGTTGTTATTGTTGTTGTTGCTCTTCTCAGCAGCACCACTCTATTCATTTTTGAGATTCTGGCTTTGCTCCTCTTCTTGCTCTGCTTATCTCTCTATTCGGCAACATCACTGTCCTGCTTTATATCCTCTTCGCTAGCTTGCCTGTAATACATATCCATTTCTCGATGCTATAAATTTAATTTACTATGTTTTTTTTTTCTTATAAGATGAGGATATGGTTTTGATGAGAGTTGCAGTGGTTAGGTTGCAGGTATAGATTCTCCGTGACCAAATGTGTTTTAAGGGGTCAGTACAACAACACTATCATTTGTGGTTGAAATAATACATTAACACCATGATATTCTGAAAATTACTTTCCTCCTCAAAGTTTACAGTTGTATTAAAAAAAATCCAGTTTTATTATAGAATTTGTCGACGCCACCATGTCATTCTTTCAAAATGCTAATTTTAACCCTTGAAAGAAAGGATTAAAAAAAAAAAAAAAAAAAAAAAAACCCAAAAACTAGACTATTTCTCCTGATTAATCTCTGTTCTTCTATTCTCTTTCTCTCCTTTCCAAGTTTTTTGTCCTCATTTCCCTTATTCATTGCACCGTTTATATCTTCCATCACCACTTGGAAGCTCAAACATCTTCGAAGAATGGAGGTGACCTTGTTACCATCGTTTACACTTCTTTCTATCAGCATAACACAACCTTTATTTGGTATTTAATTATATGTATCTAATGGCTCTTTTGTATAATGGACTGTCAATAATCAAATCTTGGTGCTCAATCATGATTGTGAAGTGGTGAAATAACTGAGGGTTTTGTTTTAGGTACGTTTATGGTGGTTGGTCTGGTAGAATGAGGATTAATTTGGAGGATTTGTTGAAAAATGATGTAATGGCTGTAAGTGGGTGATGTAGGTAGAGGCAAATGTAAGAGTAAAGTAGCATAATCTTATTGTCTTCAAAACATATCAATTTTTTAGGGCATTTCCTTGAATACTTGTTCATTAGATTGCTATGTTCCTCTCCTGGGTTTTTAATTTTGAAGAGAGTCATTTTTGTTAGCACCAAATGTTTAATTTAGAGAGAGAGAAAGAAAGCCATTTTGGTCACAATCGACATGCATGTATAAATGTTTGTATTTGACATGGGTAAGTCCATAAAGGCTATAGTCCACTATGAACAACCCAAGCCCACCACTTAGGGCCTAATACATAATTCAACTAATGAGGCCCAACATGGCTGGAACTCAACATGGCACTAAAAACCAATGATACTTAGACACGTAACAGGTGAAGGACAAGCCACATAAGCAGACAAAGATCCTGCAAAGTTATTGCACTGCACATCAGGCATTAATGAAGCCCCTTACAGCATTTATTGCGATAACCCCTCCCCGTCGAGACAAAACAGCCTCACCATGAACAAGGCAAGCTAGAGCATAGGCTTTCGGCCAAGATGGCAGATCGGAAGGGACAACGAAATGATTACCAGAGAATATAAGCAGACGTCGAAGACAAGAAGAAGGTTAAGCTTTGTATTTGTAATTCATCTCTACATTTCACCTCTATTTCTAACTTGCTCGTCGGAGGGTTCACTGGGGGACTCCCCGTTCCCCGTTGAACTCTTGTGTAGGTTCCACTGTGGGCTTGGTCATTCGGACACAGGTTTGAGGAGCGTGGATCAGTCCGACCCATTCCACCTAGAACGAACTGTATCATCAGTTGGCGCCGTCTGTGGGAAATCCTTTACTCCGCGCGCCAGTTGTGCTCATTATCACCGGAGGCCATTTCCCAATAACCCCTTCCTACCACTTGTGAAGATGGATGGTCACAACTAGATCCATGGCTTCCCACCCCAATGTTCCCGACCACCAAGCCGACCCTCCCAATCCAAACAACCCACCGCAGTATTTCACCGAGCTCACCAACAGCATTAACCGCCTGGCCGAGCAAAACCAAGCATTGATTAATTCTCTACTCCAAAGAAACCTTTCAATGCCTCCTCCACCACCTCCAGATATTCCCCCCAACCAAGAACGAGCCCCGAGCCATACTATCCAGCAACCCCATCTACCCAACTTGGAAGGCTTGCGACCCCCTCCCCTAGATGTGAACCCTCTACCTTGGGCCCCGCATCCATCGGTCCCAGCAGCAACCCCCGAAGAAGAGATTCAGTCGATCACTTGGAGACCTACAGAACCCTTATGATCCTCCATGCATTCCCCGATGAAATCATGTGTCGGGCTTTCCCCGTAACATTCAAGGGATCGGCTCGACTCTGGTTTAGTCAACTGTCAGCAGACTCTGTTTCCACTTTCCAACACCTCAGTGACTCTTTTCTCAGTCATTTCATTGGAGCCCAGCGCCAGCGGTGTCCAACAACCCAACTCCTCAACATCGATCAGACTGAGGGGGAGTCGCTGCGCAGTTTTGTTACCCGCTTTAACACCGAAGCCCTGCAGGTGGCAGAAAACAATGACAATGTCATCTTTATGGCGTTCATGGCCCGCCTACGATCATCTGATTTCCTTTTCTCCCTCTCCAAAACCCCCCGACCTCCATGGCAACCCTACTTTCCAAAGCCCAAAAATACATGAATGCTGAAGATTCCTTAGCCGCTCGCCAAAACCCTATAGCCAAAAACCCGACCCCTAGAGAGAAGAGAAAGGACTCAGAAACCAGAACACACCCAGTACAATAACCAAACACCTCAATATACCGACCAACCCCCCCAAGCCGACCGGTCGGTACCAGCCCGACTGCTCGGCCGGTTCGAATGATACACACCCCTCAATTCTCCCATGGAACAAGTCCTCAATCAGATCCAACGAGACGACCCCCTAAAATGGCCCCAGCCATCACGGTCTCCTTCCAATCGGCGAGACCAGTCCAAATACTACCGTTTTCACCAGGACCACGGCCAAAATACCGAGGAGTGTGTTAACCTCAAAGATCAGGTCGAGGGCTTGATACGTCAGGGACGTTTCAGTCGATTCATGGAAACTCACCCTTAGCAGAGGCAAAGGATTGAACCATCAGAAACAACCGCCGGCGCACCCCTCTCCGGCAACCAGCCCAACCTAACCAAGGTCATGATCGTCCTCCACAGCAACCTAGGGCACAAGGTAACCCCGCCCCACCTGTTGGAGAAATCAGAGTTATTTCTAGCGGCCTTGCTTGTGGAGGACCATCTCGCTCGGCTCAGCGGGCAGAACTCAGAAAGATAAGGCAGGGCTCAGACAAAGAAGTTGTCACATTGGACCGACCCTCCAAACAGCCCAAGCAGTGGACGGAGCCTATCACCTTTACGGACGCCGACTGCACAGGCACCTGTTACCCCCATGACGACCCTCTCGTCATTTCTACCCTCCTCTCCAATTGCAAGGTCAGACGAGTTCTGGTCGACAACAGCAGTTCTTTAGACAGCATCTTCTTAAATTGCTTCCGCCAGCTAAAGATCGGGGAAGAAAGTCTGTCCTCTCTCCAAACCCCATTAGTCGGTTTCACTAGAGATCAAGTGACCTCCATCGGCTCCATCGATCTTCCCATCACAATCGGGGAATACCCACGGCAGACCACAAGGTTACTCACCTTCCTTGTTATCGACTGTCCCTCTGCCTACAACATCATCCTCGGCCGCACCGCCCTAGATGCTTTCGAAGCTATCATATCCACTTTCCATCTTACCGTCAAGTTCCCCACCCATTTGGGAGTCGGCGCAATAAGAGGAGAGCAGACCGTGGCCAGGGAATGTTACGTCGCCTCACTTAAAGAGGTCAAGCTAAAGGAGGCTATGATCATTGAAAAGCTCGATGTCAGAGACGAGGACGAGCTGGTCAGAGGGGAACCAGTGGAAGAGCTTGTTCAGGTTCCCATCGACCCCACCAACCCGACAAAAACTGCCAAAATTGGCAGCCAACTATTCTCCCAAACAAAGGCCGACCTTACTACCCTCCTGATTGAGCACAACGACGTATTTGCTTGGACCCACTCCGACATGCCGAGCATTGACCCCTCCTTCATAACCCATCGTCTCAGCATTGAGCCCCATTTCAGACCTTTCCGCCAGAAGCAGTGCATCTTTCACCCGGAGCGCAACACTCTTATCGCCTCCGAAGTAGATAAGCTTCTTGAGGCACAGTTTATCAAAAATGTGGACTACCCCAGATGGCTGTCAAATGTGGTCTTGATTCGTAAAAACAATGGTAAATGATGACTTTGTGTCGACTACTCAGACCTTAACCGACCTTGCCCCAAAGACAGTTATCCCCTTCCTCGCATAGATCTGCTCGTTGACGCCACGGCCGGCCATCAAATGCTCAGCTTTATGGACGCCTTCTCTGGATACAACCAAATTCTGATGCACCCATCTGACCGGGAGCACACCTCCTTCATCACCGACCGGGGAACCTACCATTATTGTGTCATGCTGTTTGGGTTGAAAAATGATAGGGCCACTTACCAACGGTTGGTCAATGCCGTCTTTCATCATCAGATAGGCCAGAACATGGAAGTATATGTCGACGACATGCTAGTCAAGAGCAAGCTCTCCACTGATCATCTGGCCGACCTCCAAGAGACCTTTGGCATCCTACGAAAGTATTAAATGAAGCTCAATCCGAAGAAATGCGCCTTCGGCGTAGGATCTGGGAAGTTCTTGGGTTTCATGGTCAGTCAGCGGGGTATCGAAGCTAACCCCGAAAAGATCAAGGCCTTAATTGAAATGCAGTCACCTAGAATGGTTAAGAAGGTTCAGAGGCTTACTGGCCGAGTTGCCGCCCTCAACTGCTTCATTTCCCGCGCAAACGGACAAGTGTCTCCTTTTCTTCAAAGTTTTTCGACAAACTTTTGAGTGGACGGCAGAATCCGAAGAGGCCTTTCAGCGTTGAAGCAGTGCATGGCCAACCCCCCCTACTTTCTCAGGCAATTACGGGTGAGCCCCTTTTCCTCTACTTAGCCGTATCAAACACCGCAGTCAGTGCAGCATTCATCAGGGAAGACAACTCTATCCAACGACCGGTCTACTACACTAGTCGGGCTCTCAGGGGAGCAAAACAGAACTACCCATTGCTTGAAAAAATGGCCTTAGCCTTGGTCATAGCCTCAAGACGACTTCGACCTTACTTCCAAGCGCACTCCATTGTCGTCCTCACTGACCAACCGTTGAAGAAAATAATGCAACAACCAGAGTTGTCCAGCCGACTTATGCAATGGTCGGTCGTGCTCAGTCAGTTTGACATCTCTTACA